TAGATCTTAACCCTGCACAATGTAAACTAAAAATTGCTAAATCCACACTTCTACCCGGATGACCTAAAGTTCTTAAAGGAGGATAAACAGTTCAACTTGTACCACAACCCATATCAACAAAACAAGAATCTAAAATCAAAAATATTGCTGTAGGTAATAATCAAAACCTTAAATTATTTAAACGAGGAAATCTTATATCAGGAGCCCCTAATATTAAAGGCAACATTCAATTACCAAAACCACCAATTATACTAGGCATTACCATAAAAAAAATTATTAAAATTGCATGAGCTGTAATAATACTATTATACAACTGACCATTTCCTAACAATAAACCAGGTTTACTCAACTCCATACGAATCAACATAGATAGAGCAGAACCAACCATACCACACCAAAGACCAAAAATTAAATCTAAAGTACCAATATCCTTATGATTAGTAGACTCAAATCAATAAGAAACACCACTATAATACTTTTTAACATTATTATTAAGAACAATAGTAGATATTCATCTTTAGGACCTAAACCCAACATATTATATTATACTAAATCTACCTATAGATTTTCCCAAAAATAAGACTCATTCACTCCCGCTCATTTCGTGGTTTGTTTGTTATTGGGCCAAATACGAATAAAAGTGAAAAAGCCAAAGAGACACAGTGAGAGGTACTAAAGACCACCTACAGGGTATGAGCCCATTAGACTTATTTATCCTATCTCACTATATTTTAGAAAAGACAATTATCATTACCATAGAACTTAATAAGAGTAACTATTAACACTAAACCTAAAACTCTAGAGACCACACTCATACATAATACAATAAAAAATCTTATTGCACTAAACAAATAACCAAGAATAAAAAAAACATTCATTACTAAAAACTCAATACCAATTAAAACAAAAATAAAACGATTACCCTTATACCAAAAAGTTAATAAACTAAAAAAAAAGTATAATAAAATAAGAGTTTATAACCTCATCGTTGTAAGCGATATATTCTGAATAAACTAAAACTCTTCTTCACTCATTATATCAAAATATGTAAAACTGAAAAAACAATTTCACATAAATGTCTATACTTAAGGCGTATATCTTTTCAGACCGCAACTGAACATAGTAATATCTATTTAACACCTACTATTTAAAAATATAATAGGTTAACCAATTATAAAACAGTATAATCCCAACACAATAAAATATAAACAAGAAAAAACAACTCTTAAAGTATCAAAAGGAGCTTCAACTTGACACTGACCTAATCAACTTAAAATAATACAAACAAATAAGAAATTAAAAACCATAAATTTATTTAGATTAGATAGAACAGAAGTATAGTTCTTAATAAAAGCAAACCTAAAGAATACACAAATACTAGCCAGCAAACATATAACCCCCAGAACTTTATTAGGAATAGCACGTAAAGATAGCATAAGCAAATAAGAAATATCATTCAGGCACAATATGAACAGGACTTATTATAGGATTAGCTTCAATAATACATCTCAGGGATCACTAAAAAAATATGGGAAAAATAAAACAAACGAAATAAAAACTATAAAAAAAATAATATTATAACCATCCTTAGCGAAATAATAAGGATAAAAATTAATTTTATCATAATCACCATGACAGTATAAACTAGAAGTACTTCCAGTCCTATGTAAACACACTAAATGAGCTATAATTAAAACAAATAACAACCATGGCAATAAATAATGTAAAATACATAAGAACTTTAAAGTAGCACTACCAACGGAAAAACCACTTCAAACTCATATAACCAAAGAATTTCCAATATAAGGAATTACACTCAATAAACTAGTGATAACAACAGCAGCCCAAAATCTTATTTGAGCTCAAACCAAAACATAACCCATAAAAGAAACACCTATAACCACTAAAAACATAACTAAACCAGTAACCCATACACCAGACAAACGATAACTGACTATAAACAACCCTTTAAAAATATGTAAATACAAAAAAACAAAAAATAAACTTGCCCCATTAAAATGAAAAATTCGAAAAATTCAACCATAATTTACTTCATACATAATATATTGAACTGCACTAAAAGCCAAATTACTATCAGCCACATAATACATAGCCAAACAAAAACCTGTAAATACTTGTATTGCTAGAATTATACCAAGCATACTACCAAAATTCCAATAAATAGTAAGAGACTTACTAACAGGTAAATTAATAAGAGATTCTTTAAAATATTGAAAAACAACGGATATAAATTTTCAGTTTTGAAGACCGATAGTTTAAACTTAACTTAAATCCGCTAATCCTTGTTGCCTCTCGATTGGAAGTCGAGCATACTTAATTATACTAAAGGATCTGACGTTTCTCCCCCTCTCCTATATTTCTCTTCTTTCAACCTTATCATATCATAATACATATTAACAATAAAAACAGACATAACAATATACATTATATACATAAACAAATCAAAATGCAAACCAATAACAAATAAACAATTTAAAAATATAACAACATGAAAAATTCAATATTTACGATACTTTAACAAACAAACCAACATAATAAAAATATAAGCTACTACATCAATAGGTTCAACAGCTGCTACAAACCTTATTATTACAAGTAATATATTCTAAGTATAAACTAAAGCAGCAATAAAAAGATTTATTAAAATAGTATAATACTTTAGTGAAATTCCTTTCGTACTAATCATACTATAATTAAGCAATACTCAAGATAAACAATTCTGACTTACGTCGAATTAAACTAATATCACGTCCCACTATCTCATAGAAGAACAGTCTGAATTACCAAGCCTTATTCTTTCCTGGTACGTGGAAATACAACATCGATGTAAAACTTACCCTAACATAAGGACTGCATCAGGTATGAATTTCTGTTAACTCCGAAGTAACTCTTTATTATGAAAACAGGAAAAAAATGATTATATAATTAACTTCCCTAGTGAACTTATCATATAAACATATGAATATATAACAATAGAGTTTCCGAAGACTTATCTTTGTAATACTGCACCCATCATTTCTTAGATGGATAATAAGTTCGATAAAAAAAAAGAAAGAACACTGACCAAACCTTCATTCATACTGGAATCCAATAAAGAAACAAATGATTTTGCTACCTTAATGACCTCACGCTAAGTCTGCCATTGATACCTAAATACATCGGGCAGAAGTCAGGTATACTAGATACCCTAAGTCTTTAATAAACATTTGATCTCGCTTCTGAGTTCTCTTATTATATTTCAAACACCTACATAATTTAACAAATCTACTAATTTGGAGATAATTTATACTATAATGCTTTATAGTATATAAATAAAAATAGAACCTAAAACCCGGTATAGTTGTAACACTAGTAACATAGATACTACTAACCCTGAACACCGAAACATGGTAAAACTAAAGTTACAATTTTCTAGTATATATAAAAAAAACTGATATCTCATAGGACGATATTTCAGCACCATATCTGTTAAAAGTTAATTTGTAACATTAACACAAAACAGACATCTTACCCTATGTTTCAATATTACACTGCTGTGTAAATTTTCCTCCAATGGGATGCAATCCCAATATATATACAACATTACAAATTTAACCAGTGGTCTACGCCATAATCGAATTAAAAGTTCGATGCTTTAAACTTAAGCTAACCGGTCAAACTACTCATTTAAATAAAATTGAACCAGACGAGCAAAAATATAACTTTGAATAACTAAAACACAACACTCCATAGAAATCAAAAAAACATAACCAATAATAAACCAAGGAGAAACAAATGTAATTAATCAATACATAACCTGTATTAAAATATGACCAACTAAAACATTAGCAGTTAAACGAACAGTTAAAGCAAGAGGACGACTAAATTCACTAATCAACTCAATAGGAATCATAAAAAAATTCTTTAACCAACTTGAACCCTTAGGATACAAATATAAAGAAAAACGCTCCCTAGAAATAAACGTTAAAAAAGCGGTCATTCAAGCTAACAAACTAAAAACCAAAGTAAATTCAGCCATTCTAAAAAATGGAAAACTATAAGGTAAAAACCCACCAAGAGTAAAAACAAGCAAAGTAATAAATAAGAAAGTAGTCAATCAATAACTATTAGGCTTATTTTTATCAAAATCAAATAATGTCTTCAAAGACATTATAAAAGCCTCTATGGCAAAACCAATAGTTCTATAATTTATACAAAACACAAATTGTATAATAAACAGAAACAAAAACAAATCTAAAAAAGTAAAATGTCTAATTCAGTGAACCAATCTTAGTAATCCAAATACTATATTTTAAATTAAACTACTCACTGCAATGGTTTCAACTTTCTGGACCAAAACCAAATGTTCTACTTAAACTAAAACCATAAAATAAAAAAAAAATCGAATCAAGGGCAATCAACCTTCAGTTTTACAGACCGCTGTTCTATAATTAAACTAAGCCCCTTGGTACCCATACTATTCTTAGCTTCTTCAGAGCCATATTTTAAATATAAACTAACTGGGTTAACTAAACAGCTCAATATAACTTACCATACCACCATTCTATATAAAAACCAACACCAATAAACAAAATCAACAACAAAAAAGTAAACAAAGAATTAATATCAGAAACCAAAATACCAATAAACATCACCACCTCTAGATCAAACAAAACAAACATTAACATAATAATAAAAAAATGAATTCTAAAAGAATTTTGAACCTTACCAACAGTAGCAAAACCACATTCAAAAGCACTAACCTTATTAGAATTAGTAACCTTACGACTAATTAAAAAATTAACAAAATAAAACAAAACAACAAAAAAAATAGAAAAAAAAACAACCAAATTAATAACAAAAATAAGCTCCAAATACCTCCTGTGCCACAAACAGACATACTAAAAATTATACTAAAGAGCTAAGGCTACGGTTTAACAAACCTAATCCGGATTTCAAATCCAGACCATATATAACCCCCTACTAGGTACAGATTCCCCTACACCTACTTTACTACAACTTACTCCCCTGTGGGCAATTGATGGATGATTTGTACCATTACTAAGGTAATTCTTCAAAAAACCATAAAAAGCACTTTACTGTCCTTTACAACTTCATATCCAAATCTCTCCGGATACTCCGAACTAAATCGCCCTCCGGCACTGTAGCCCAAATTACACACTCAAACATAAACCAGGTATTTATCTGTCCTATTAGAGAACTATCTCTTACGAACACACCGTTAAGAAGGATCTTTGACGAACATACATGCGACTAAAGTTCAAGCTGATAACGAGGGTTCTCGATTACTACTCAAGCTCCAAGGATAATTTGGGGTGCTCCCAATATAATTCCGGTTTAAATATTACTTTACTCCCGAAATCTTATTAATTTAGAATAACCGGGTACTAATCCGGGTCTATTATCTAATCTTATCT